ACTCGTACTTGACGTTGACAAGGCGCACGACCCGCGAGCAGTATAAGAGCATACGTGATGAGTATGCCAACTGGCGGGAGGAGCGTGGCGATCACGCCCAGCACGTGTCGTACTTCCAGTACATCGACCTGGCACGCATGGCCGAAAGCGAGTCGCATGCCAGTGTCACGCGGGGTAACCCGCCAGGGAGTACGACTGTGCCGCGGGGAAACCCGCCTACCGACACAGCCGACACTTCAGAAACTGTGCACATCAAGCAGCCGAGTAAGACGTTCTTGGATGATGGTGGAAATTCCATACTCATCGATGTCGGTTCGAAGATCAACATCATGGGCGAGAACACGAGCCGCAAGTTCGTCCAGGCTGCCGAGGCACATGGCCGTACTTGTACGTTCGAGCCCCGCTCTCGTTTGAATATCAACGGAGTGGGAGAAGGGTCGGCCCCAGCGGATACCGTAGGCACATTCAGTATTGCCTGCGAGTACCAGGGGTCGGCCCAACTCGATTCATACAAGACGAACATTGTATCAGGCTGTGGCAAGGACCTGCCAGCCATCCTAGGCCTCGATAGTATGCAAGATAAACGCACGATCATCGTGCTTGAACGAGGCCCGGAGAAGCTGATATTCCCTGGTAAGGGGCAGGTCAAAATGGAGCCCCCTGAGGGCTCCAAGATCATGCCGACGACGAAGTTGCCATCAGGGCATCTGTCGATCAGGTGTGATTGTTTTGGAGCTGCGGGGCAACCCGCCTCGAGCTCAAGCAGCGCGTCCTTTCAGACAGTGCTGACGGGCGAGCCGACCCCGGCGCAGGAGCGCGAGCAATTGCAGGGAAACCTGCCTCAGGGGTTGATGGAGACACTCGCCAAGGCCACCATGCGAGGCGACAACATCGACGATCTTGAGACGTTCGATTGTTCTGTTGCCAGGACACTGGCCCAGCATGGTGGAAGTGTACCCATGGACGCTGTACAGTCCCGCCGTAAGATAGTGATGGGATACACTAATCGTGAATTGCATACGGTCAGCGACGCTAGGTCCAAAGGCGCGCTGAAACAGCTGATGGATAATCCATCGATGCTGACAGCATTTGCGGAGCAATCCGCTTCTGAGGCCACGGCGCGCTGCAGTGCTGAGCTCCAGCATCTGAGGGAAGCCCAGATGCTGGCAGATATTGCAGGCACATCTTCTTCATCTTGAAGATGGCAGGGCGACGTCGCCCCCTCGTCGTCTTGCCTGTTGGCTGAAAAGCCGGGGGGTAACAAGGACAGCGGGGTAACCTGCCTTAGTAAGAGGGCTTTTGTCATTGAAGATACGAGGGAGGCATGCGCCGACCTTCGCACACGAGGTTATATTTGTGATCGTATTTCCCACAACGAACTTATGACAAGCGTGGGCACAAACTACCTAGGTGCGGTGATCAGTGGAGATTACACTCTCATATGGATTAGTACTCCGGGTGACTGGTACGCACGAACTCCAGGAAAGAGAGTGGCCCCACATTGGTCACGTATCCAGAACCTGTTGATAAAAGCCAAGAAACTCCGCACGAAGATCATAATATTTGGTCCCCCAGGATATGTTTGGAAGTTATCTCCAGTACGTGATACCCTGGAAGATCTAAAGTTGTCAGTAATACGGATGCGTTTGTGTCATTTCGGTATTCGGTTCAATATGCAAGACAGTACACCAAGCGGTACTTATATGCAGGTAGCATCATCAATACCGATTAGCTCGAAGCTGTGGGCATGTACCTGCAAGCAGGCAATACCACAACATGTGTTGGATTGGTACGGCCATACAGTACGGCATGCTGAATGGCGAGCTCAGACACGTACTACACTCATCCGTCATTTGGACGACAACATCCTGGGGAGCACCACCACGCACGGAAACGTGCCCGTATACTTAAACACTTATACACGTACAGACCATAACATCCGTCACTACGTGACGATTAATAAGGGAGGACCGAAATGGTCTGAAGTCATCCGACGCGTAACAATCAACCTGGATACCAATGCGGTTATTCAGGATATATCAGTTACCGATCAACCAACAGGATATGGTTGGCATGCACCATTACCTGCAGGGGTTGCCAACATCAGTACTCGGTTGCATTGGCAACCCGAGGAACCGGTCTTGCTCGGAAACGAGCCGACTCAATCACCACAGAAGCCTCGACGCGTCATCATAGATGACTGTTCTCTCCCCCTCCCGACTCTGGCGAATGACGCATGTACCCATTCAACCACGACAATGAGTACACAGACCGACGAACAAGACGAGCAAGCTTTACCCACTGAATCGCGTATAAAGCAGAAGGAGAGGCTCAAAGCCGAAAAGGAAGCAGGCATCAAGCCTCGCCGCATTAAAAAGCATGTTGAAGACGGAAACGATGATTGCGGCGACGACTTGTCAGGACTCGGACAGGAACTTATGACAACCTGGAGTACTGACGTCCCCGTTGAGCTGATAAGCTCCGACGAGGACGATGACCTGTTCCTTACCCTCCCCACATCTATGCCCGACACACACGCTAACATATACAGCATAGTCGCTACACTATGCTATGGTCATAACAACTGCGTGGATATGTTGGAGCTTTGTGGCGGTGAGGGTGGCATCTCAGAGCTTGCCTTCTCAGGGGGACTTTCCTCAGGCGGCAACCTGGACAAGACCACATATGTCGACCTGGGAGACCCCTCGGTGCAGCAGGTTATAGATCATTACTTTGCTATGTGCTACGTACGAGTTGCCATACTGCAACCCAGCTGCCGCACCACAGGACCACCCCCCTACTACAACTACAAAGTCAACTACAACACTTGGGAACAGCACCATAAAGAAGACTTACCACACATAACTTATTGTGGTAAAATTGATGTAACCCAAGATGGCGCTCGGAGGTGGTTTATACGCGAACAACCTACAGGAACATGGGTGGATGATATTTCTCCATGGACGAAGCTTGTCAACCGACCACACATTACAACCGTGCGCATTGACCAATGCGCTACGGGACTTAAAGATACGACTGGTGACTATATTAAGAAGCCGACAAATATCACCAGCAACGACGAGACAATTCTTAAACCCTTTGAGCGACTCAAATGCAACGGTCAGCATGTGGACGCACAACCGTGCAATACAGAGCTTTCACTGGCACAAAAATACACTCGACGACTGCAGTCTGCCTTCGTGGAAGCCGTCTATTTGGCGAAAGCCATTGACACCACGCGCGGAAACGCGCCTATAAGTACCGCACATGCTTATCCTACAGACCTTCCCGATCAAGCTGAACCAGGCGAAGGTATGATACGCATCGGTGATCGTATCATCCCAAAGGTGGCTACTTGCCCGGCATGCATCGACAATGTCCGAAAGGACAGTCCGAGCCATAACAGAGACCCTACGCAGTGTAAATATCATGATTCCATCTCTGGATATTGGCCATGTCCAGCATGTCAGAGGGATCTTACGAGAAGCAAGGGTGTTAAGAACCACCTCGATACCGAACCTGGTAAATGTCGTTTTGCTGAACCATTTAAACTTCCAGACGATCACGACCCCGAAGGCAAAACCGTGCCAGCTTGGTGGGAACCCTTACCTAAACCTGGTGAGGGCCAAGCTTCAGCTTCAGGTGGCCGCCAAGGCGCACACGCCAGGCCACCACGACCACGATCCTTCGGTAACGTCGATCCGACATCTGGTGCCAGCAGCTACGACATGCTACGAGACGCCCCCGAGCGTGGAAACACGCCTTCTGCGTCTTCTAGCGAAGCGCCACAGGTGGCGGCCCGCCGCGGCCGTCTACAAGGCGCACCACCACCTCCAGACGCAGTCAACACAGGGGACCAACTACGGAGAGCTACAAGGAACCCTCTTGCCTCCACCGGCTCTGGGGCTCCCCGACTACCCGACTGGGCGAGATTCGACATCCAACACAGTCTACAGAGTCTCCGTAGTCACTAACCCCATGTCGTGAAAAAGGAACTCCGAAAACTGCATCTGCGATGGCATCATGCGAAGGAGCCAAAGATGAGGCTAATCCTCGAAAAGGTGGGGCTTGATAACGTTCGACTGAACATGATCAAGGAAGTTTGCGATACCTGTCGGGAATGCAGAGCATGGGAACGTCCAGGAAACTCAACACTACCATCGGTGAGCCTTCCTGGTAACTGGCTCGATGAAGGGGAAATGGACCTCATGTTCTACAAGAAACGGACCATATTCCATATTATGGATCGATGTATTCGCCTGGCAGCAGGCCTAGAAATTTCCGACAGAGAACGTGACACTATCATTGACGCCTACCACTACTGCTGGATTGCCTATCATGGACCCTTCAAAGTTTTATACTCAGACGGAGAAGGCGCCCTGAATAACGATGCCGCTAAAACCATGATGGCCAATAAGGGCACGGAACTTCGTATCCGAGCACCTGGCCAACACGCGACTTCAATTGAGCCACGAAACGGCATTCTCAGAGGCGTCCCCCACATGATTGAGGAAGAATTGAATAGACACAACATCCCTGTTGTATTCACTAGAGT